GATGATAGCCTTTGCTGGAGAGGCTGTGGAGGAAGGGGTACCCTCATCCATTGCTGGTGGGAATGCAATCTTGTGCAACCACTTTGGAAATCAGTGTTTCGGTTTCTCAGGAAATTCGGGATCAACCTACCCCTGGACCCAGCAATACCACTCTTGGGAATATACCCAAAAGATGCCCTATCATATGACAAAAGCATTTGTTCAACTATGTTCATAGCAGCATTATTTGTAATAGCCAGAACCTGGAAACAACCTAGATGCCCTTCAATGGAAGAATGGATCAAGGTTAAGTGTCTTAACTTGAGATTCACTCCAGTGCTCAGCTAATCTCTTTTGCAACTTCTACATCTACTAACACCATTGAACTAAACTTTAAATTCTCCCACAGGGAAAAAGTAGTATCAAGGCCATTTTCTACACAGGTAGTATTTCCATAAAGTCTTCCTTCTTCTTGCTTCATTCCTTTTTCAGTCTCTATTCCCTCCTTTTCAGGAGAAACAGAGTAAGAATGAGCAGTTTATTGTTCCTGGAAATCGAGTCCAATTTCCTCTTTGTTCACTTCTGGAATCTGAGATGCAGAAAATAGAAATGAATAGTCCATTTAGGTCACATGCTGCCCCAAAAACTTCTGATGTTGTTGAATTTTAGAATCAGTGAGGGAAGATGGCAAGGCCCCAAACCAGCAGATGAACCCAAGAGATTTTGTTCCCTTAGTTCCCACACTAGAAAAGAGGAATAATTTACTCAGTTTTTCAGTCTGGTTCTGCACATGAGGAGCAATTTTTTGAAGAGTGTATTAGATATGAGGAAAGCAGAATGAGAGAAATGTGGCCAATGTGTTTGTCTTCCTTCCTCTTAAAGAATGTCCTTTGAGGTTTGTCAGTGACCAGAACCTACTTCAACAATTAATGTTGAACCTTTAGGGTTTTAGAATGCCTTTATGTAGTTTTCATAAAGGAGGTTACCTTCTTCTTGTATTTCAATATGTAATGAGATAGTAGGAATACTGTAGAGAGATCTATGTGAGTGAGAGACCAGGAGAGTGCTCCATCTCTCATCTGCTGAAACTGATCCCAACCTCATCCCTAATGAGTCTGTCCTGATCCCTGTCTATATCTCTCTTTATACATAGATGCCTCATTGCAGTCAGCCAAGGAGTATTTGGGCAGCTCCCTATCCATTTTTCCGTAATCTGACACCCATTCTCATGTTCCATCTCTCTTTAAAAATATTTGTGATGTGTGAAAGGCCTCTCTTGGGTATATTCCCAAGAGTGGTATTGCTGGGTCCATGGGTAGGTTGATCCCGAATTTCCTGAGAAACCTCCACACTGCTTTCCAGAGTGGTTGCACAAGTTTGCAATCCCACCAGCAATGGATGAGTGTACCCCTTTCTCCACAACCTCTCCAGCAAAAGGAGACAGAGACAGAGACCCACAATGGAGCACCGGACTGAAATCTCAAGGTCCAAATCAGAAGCAGAAGGAGAAAGAGCACAAGCAAGGAACTCAGGACCGCGAGGGGTGCACCCACACACTGAGACAAGGGGGAGGTTCTATCTGGAACTCACCAAGGCCAGCTGGCCTGGGTCCGAAAAAGCCCGGGTTAAAACCGGTCTCGCTGAACATAGTGGACAATGAGGACTACTGAGACCTCAAGAACAATGGCAATGGGTTTTTGATCCTACTGTACCTATTGGTTTCGTGGGAGCCTAGGCAGTTTCGTGGATGCTCACCATACTAGACCTGGATGGAGGTGGGGGATCCTTTTACTTCCCACAGGGCAGGGAATCCTGATTGCTCTTTGGGCTGACGAGGGAGAAGGACTTGATTGGGGGAGGGGGAGGGAAAGGGAAGGCGGCGGTGGGGAAGAGACAGAAATCTTCAATAAATAAATAAATAAATAAAATTAGAAAGTATATACTCAGAGAAAAGCATAAAATTTTAAGAGAAATAATTTGAGATTTATGTAAAATCTACACAAATTCAGTCACTTTGCAGTAGTTCTGATTTATTCTCTTCATTTTGTTCATTGTCTCCAAGGAAGCCCATCGGGAGGTTTGTAACCAAAGTTCTGAGCCATTAAACAGTAAATATTTAAAAAAAAAGAAAAGAAAAGAAAAGAAATCACTGTAAATGCTGGTAAAAAAAAAATTTGTGATGGAAACATAATTCTATCACTTTTCTTTTCCTTTCCTCCTCCCAGTCCCTTTTGTTACAAGCTTTTGCATATCCCCCACCCTCTTAATTTAATAGCATCTTTCTTTGGTTTTTATCGTTGCATTGTGTATATCTGTATATGCATATATCCATAAAACTGAGTGTTTATATATAATATTTATAAACACTTTTTCAGAGTATTTACATGTGTGTGTGTGTGTGTGTGTATGTTTTCAGGACTGCATTGTAAAACCAATAAGTCTAATTTTTCATTATAGTTCATCATGATCCATCATTATGTAGGATGTTTCTCAGTCATGGCTTGAATATTTCTTTAGTCACAACCCATGAAATATATATGAGGCATTCTCATATTTGGCAGTAAGGTACAATGGATCACTCAGGGATGACCATACACTGGAAGAGTTCCTGAAAGAGCCATAGTTCTATGTTTCCCTTTCTGAATCACAGGGCCAAGCATGATGATAGCCTGGAATGTCCCACTGTGGCTTTTCACTATAGGCAGCCAGTGTCTCTAAGGCAGCCCATCCTTGGAGGGATAGAACATTTCCAACTGGTGGTTAGATATGTAAGACGAGGCCATAGTCTCTCCTGACATTGCCACTGGATGATGATTATCATTGCAGACAGAGAAGGTTTCGTGTGTAAACCTGGAAAAAAGAGGCAGAGACAGTTCCTTACCAGTGTTCATGCACTCCTCAATGATTACTTTCTGTTTCTTTTTCTGTGATCTCTCTCTGTCCCATTCCCTCTCCATTTCCCTACCATTTCTCTTCCCTTTTCTCTTCCTTTGTCCCTCTTACCCCTCCCTCTTTATTTCTACAATATCCTTTAAAATAACCTTTATTGATATATATATATATGTATATATATATATAAATTTTATGTAGCAATTGAGTTCATCATTTAATATTTATATGTATACATAATGCATTTTATATTGTTTTGAAATATTTAAATTTTGGAAACTAAAATATAATTCCATTATTTCATGGCTTTTTTATTTATTATATACACACAGGTAACCTTTCACATAATTATACTATTATCCTCTCTTGCTTCTCAACTTCCACTCTCCCATTCATTTTTCTAATTTATCTTCTTTCTACTTTTCTTTATTTTTTCCTTTTTTTGGTAAATCATTGGATTTAATTAGAATAACTTATTGTTTTGTTTTTGTTATCATACAAAATAATGGAGTTTACTTTAACATCCTCATACAGTCCAATTTGTTCATTTTCTTTCCACTTCCTTGCCTTGTACCATCTTCTGCTTGTCCTTCCCAACCCCATCGATTGTTCTTCCATGTCATTTGCATTCCCACCTCTTTTCCAGTCCCTTTCGGTTAAGCTCTTTTCCTTTCTTCTTTTATTATTTTATTACTTTAAAAAAATACCAATCCAAATTCCCACTCCCCTCCCTCCTCCCACTTCCTCCCTGCTCTTTTCCTTCCTAATGATCACTTATTTTATAATTTATAAGTCCCCCATCTTATGTATAGAATATGATTCCACTCTAAGTTATTCACTTTGTTTTTCCTCTTTCAGCATATCAATGTTAATCAATCTCTCTTTTCTAAATACAAAATGTTCTATAAACATGTTTGCTTCCCTTAAGTCAGAATGATCTCCCACTTCTTCTTTCTCTTAGTATATGTACTACTGAAGTTTGATCTTCTCCCTCCATAGCTCTGAAATATACAACACCTGTCATTATTTCTCCATATTTTCTTTCACATCATCTGTTTAGGTTTCTGAACTTTTGCATTTTTTCTCTTCCTACACATGTCATGCTTTCCATTTTCTCAGCCCTTTATATTTCTTATTGTGTAACTCAGTTCCACTTCTCTCACTCATTGTGGGTGTGTATATTTTCACATTTCTGTTCTATTTCTATCTGATTATCCCTGGTGCACCTCTATGGGATATTTTCTTCAGTCATTCCAGGATGTCTGAATAACCTTAAACACGGACTGAAAACAACTCGGAGAATTAGAGAACCTACAATGATTGGTGCTCTACTCATTTACTCAGGAATAATTGGTCAACCATAAGAAACGAAGAGCTGTAAAATTAGTCAGAAAATCTATGGATGCCATCTGTAACCAGGCTTCAGGAGTCATGAGGAACCAGCTCCATTCAGCACTTAAATTCAGGTCAGACACACGGATAACCAGGAAAGGATAATACCTCCATATACTAAATAACCAAATATTTAGTAAATTTAAACATGACCAGCTAAGGTGTTTATGTTCTAGTTGTAATTGTTCCAGAACTACAAGTTATGCCCATTTCAACTTTTTCCCATGGAGGGACCATCAATTGACCTGTACTAAGTATTCATACTATGGGAGAAAACAAACAGACAAAAATTAGACAAATGAAAGGCCAAACTCAGAGACAGCCAAGATGCAGCTCATGCAACTATGGCAGAGACTTGACCACTATTCCTTGAAATTCAGGTGTGGCCTCAGATGTTTTTCCAAGCTTCATGCTTTGCAAGACCTAGACCTCTGAAAAGGCAGAGGGACAAGAGGATTTTGAGTTCTGCTACAATCTCATGGGAAGGTAAGCCTTGAACTGATGTGGCTGGAAGTCTAGCAGCTGAAGAATCCATTTGGTCCACCCTGCTGAGACCTGTCAAGATGTGTTCGGAAGGAATATGTACCCCTTTCTTTCTCTTATCTCCTTTTTAATTTTGCTTTTTCTCTTCCTAAGAGGGTCCAATATATTATTGTATTCTGGCTTACAAAACAATTGACAGGAATTTTGTCTCTCCTTTTTGGGGGTTCTTCATACATTAGTTCCTAAGCATATAAAGTTGCATATATATTATTTTGAATATTTTGTTAGTTATACTTTAGATCTTAGCAAACATCTTGATAATTGTGAAAAAAATGCTTTGTCTCAGAGGGCTGATTAGAACCCATATTAATTCCATTCTCTCACTTATAGTTATGAACACTTGGGTCAGAGGCCCAAGTTCCTTGAATCCCTAATTTCAATTTAAAGAAAGTGCTCTTACCTTCCCCGAGGATGGAGTCCCTCATATTGGATACCAGCTGTGAGATTCCCTGTAAACTCTATGGCGATCAGAAAAATCATGAAAGGCAAAATGAAACCTGGAACAGCATCGCTTATTTAGCCAGATTAGTTCAGACTTCTATAGGCTGACACCAAGTGGTTTATTATGACTATATATAAACACAGTATAATTTGGAAAAATGTTGCCTCGTATAATAAAATAGCTGGTGCACAAGGAGAAATAAATATATAAGAACTCAGCTCAAAGTCAAAACTGTTATTTCTTCTAAGAAGATGGGTACTAGTTTGCATGTATTAGATTAAGGGCCTAGGGTAGTATCTGTCATGGCCTTGGTAATACAGATAGCATAGAAGTTATTTAGGCTATCAGCCACCTCTAGTTCTGGTTGGGAGAACCTTTAGATATATAAATAATTTAAGGGTCAACTAAACTCTTAAGTATCCCTGATCTTAACTATAAGAATTTGATATAACCTGGTCCTTTAGATAATGAAGACCATTAGGATATTAATCATCTCCAATTCCAAGACTTCCAGGTGAAAACAGGTTATATACCTTTTCTTTAAAAAGACAGCAATGCATACTTAACATTCCTGGTTTCCTCAGTAATTTGTATGCTCAAATACCTTTGTGCTCCCAACATGTAGCCACAGAGAAAAATTAAATAGAACACTAGCTATAAAATAGAAACAATTGGAAATCATGATGTTCATCAAAGTAAGATAGACTCAGAAAGTTAAATACTGCATGCTTTTACACATAAGAGCTAGATTTAAAGTTGTTTCTATGTTTTTTCATGTTTTACTAAAATTTTAGCATACCACACAAAGTATTAGGTTTCCTTATGATGTCTGTATACATATGTGTCATATCGTGTGTGTGTGTGTGTGTGTGTGTGTGTG